AGCAGGGCTCCGCCATGGTTGCCAGATCGGCACCGGAGCCATTGGGCCCACACAGCAGCGTGCATGGCACTAATCGCGTGTTGTGATTGCGTAGGTAACTTTAAGATGAACGGCAACTCGGCCAGCCTCAAGGAGCTCGTCGCCTCGTTCAACGCCGCGGAGGCTGACAAGAACGTCGAGGTTGTCCTCGCTGCTCCCTTCGTCTACGTTCCCCTGGTTGCGTCGTCGCTGCGCTCTGACTGGGCTGTTGCTGGCGAGAACTGCTACGTCAAGGCTTCGGGTGCCTTCACCGGTGAGGTGAGCCCGAGATGCTCAAGGACGTCGGTGCCAAGTGGGTCATCCTGGGCCACTCGGAGCGCCGCAACATCCTTGGTGAGTCGGACGAGTTCACTGCTGAGAAGACCGTCAAGGCCCTGGAGGCTGGCCTCAAGTGTGTCGCTGTGCGTCGGTGAGCTGCTCGAGGAGCGCGAGGCCGGTATCACGCAGAGCGTTGTCGAGCGCCAGCTGGACGCTGTCGTCAAGGCCGTCAAGGAGGAGGACTGGGCCAACATCGTCATTGCCTACGAGCCCGTGTGGGCCATCGGTACCGGCAAGGTTGCTACCCCCGAGCAGGCGCAGGAGGTCCACGCCAACATCCGCAAGTACCTCCAGAAGGCCGTGTCGGCTAAGGTCGCCGAGGAGACCCGCATCGTGTACGGTGGCTCGGTCAGCCCGTCCAACTGCGTCGAGGCCGCCAAGCAGGCTGACGTCGACGGCTTCCTGGTCGGCGGTGCTTCGCTCAAGCCCGAGTTTGTCAAGATCGTCAACGCCACTCAGTAAATAGCTCATGGGCTTCTCGCCCCTCGCGCAGGCGTCTTGGATAAAATATATATTCGTTCTCTACTTCTTGCGGGCATTCCTGCTCCCAACCCTGCGCTTCTTGAACAGCCCGGAAGCACCCGCAGCTGCATCATTATCAGCTGCATGCGCGCCATTACTGTCACTGCCGCGCAGGAGCAACGTCTTCTCGGCGACCTCGAATGCCTCGGGATTGCCGACATCCTCGTCGTCCAGCCATTCGGAGCCGCGCAGCTGGTTCAAGGGTTTTTGGGATGCGGGTTCATCGGCAGCGGTGTGGCAGCTCCCCCATCAGCTGCAGTGTGGGATGACCTGGTCCCACCAGCAGATTCGTCCTCTTCTTCCCCGACGACTTCCCAACCGCCGACCAGCCCAATATCGGCCGGCCGACTGTCCACTGCGGGTTCCTTCTGCTTCTCTGTCGGTTCTGCTTCCTCCACCGGCTCGGGTGGGGCTGGTGGCAGCTTTGCGGCTGGCTGGCTGGCTGTGGTGGACCCAACGTCCTTGCTGTATGCATCGCTGGCGGCCTGCTCGATCTTGTCAAGCTGCCTCTGCAGGGCAGATTCGGCTTTGGCAGCGGTCTCGGGCGGTCTCGTCAATGTTGCGCAGGTACCGGCTGCACGTTCTCTTTGTGCTTGACGCCCGATTCGTGGATGCGGCCGGCTCGAGCTGTTGTCGTGACAAATATGCTGCAGTACCGGGCACCAGTACTTTGGTGTTGCGGTCCCAGGGTGCTTGCGCTTTTGCGACATGATCAATGCGAGGAAAGGGAGGCTACGGTCTATCTAGCTGTGGACAGGGAAAAATTAGCCCGCGTCGCCTGAACGGCCTTCCCTAGGTTACCACTCGGACATGGGCTTGAATCTGTTATGGGCACTGGAAAGGGGGAGCCGCGGCTCAGTGCGGATGGGCTGGATTTTAGCCAGCGCTTGTGATAGCACGCATGTTGGCTCCCTCCCCGCTCTGAAATCTCCGCACACGTTTCCGCATACACTTATTTTATTGTTTTACTATCTCAAATCGCCAACACCGAATTAGACGGAGGACGCGACCAATCCCGAAAGAATGAGCAACAGCAACGAGACAATAGTGATCGTGGGCGGCGGCATCGTCGGCGTCTCGACTGCCTTCTTCACAGTAAAGTCGCTGGCCGAGAAGTACCCAGCCGAGCAGCGGCCGAGCGTGGTGCTGCTGGAGCAGTGCGAGCCCGGATGCAGCGCCTCGGGCAAATCGGGGGGTTTCCTGGCGCGGCACTGGTCAGACGGCACGGACACCGAGCAGCTGGCCGAGTTCGGGTACGATCTGCACGCGAAGCTAGCGCGCGAGTACAACGGACCCGAACGCTGGGGGTACCGGCCGCTGGACACATATTGCGCCGAGATCGACCGGATCCCGGTGACGCCGGCGAAGCAGCACAAGACACCAACAAGCGCACCGAGGCGAGAATATGGTGACCTCTATTGAGGTTATTGCCGCCAAGCCGCAGCAGTTCGCTGGTCGCCACGCCAATGCACTACTCCGGACCGCCGTCGCCAGGCGAGGAGCACCAGGACCGCACGCACTCGTCTATTACAGTGCCAGCTGAGGTCGAGGCCGTCAAGGTCGTTGACAACGCCTGCGTACCGTGGCTCAAGCCCGATATCCTGACGCGGCTGCGGCAGGTTGGCAATATGGCCAAACACCGCGCAAGTCGATCCGCTCAAGCTGACACGCACGCTGCTGAGCGAGGCCAAAGCGCTGGGGCTGCAGATTGTCAAGGCCAAGGTTATCGATGTCGAGGAGCCCGGATACCGCCCGCCCATCCTCGAGTTCCCCATCAGCAGCCAGAGCCGTCTGGCCACCGACGAGTTCTCGATCGTCGAGCCCGCCAATACACCGGACTCGACGCGCCGTGCCTCGGTTGTCAAGCCGTATCTGGTCAAGGTTGACCAGGGTGAGGACATCCCCGCGGACAAGATCGTTGTTGCGTGCGGCGCCTGGGTCACCTCGTGCCTGCGCTGGCAGGCCTTCCGCGAGGTATCTGCCAGCCAGATCCCGATCCAGGGCCTGCGCGCCCACTATCTGATCGCCAAGCCCTCGGAGCCACTGCCAGCCCAGGCTGTGTTTGCCGAGATCAACGGCACCGTGTACAACGGGGAGGACGCAATCGAGATCTATTCGCGCATGGACGGATCGGTGTTTGTGTGCGGCGAGGCCCTCGACGACCCCGAGATGCCGCCCCACAATCCCTTCGAGCCCGTGTGGAGCAAGCGCGCAACCAACCGCCTCAAGCAGATCGTCAACGACGTTAGCCCGTCGCTGAGCTTTGATGTCATCAACTACGGCCTCGCCTGCCACCTGCCTGTGCATGCCAAGGGCATTCCGTCATCTCGCCTGTGCCCGACGCCAAGGGCCTGTTCATTGCCGCCGGCCACGGGTGCTGGGGTATCCTCAACGGTCCGGCCACCGGCCTGGCCATGTCCGAGCTGCTGGTTGATGGCAAGTGCACCACCCTGGATCTGACAAACTTTAGGCTCAACCGGTGGTACTAAGCCCTGCACTTTCTTCCAGTCTCCCATGAACGAGGGCTTTCTATATTTTTGAACCACTAAAATGAAAACTCACATCCCACTTTCCCCTTCCCCTTTCTATCGTCTGTTGCGGCTGTCGCCCAGCCCGCCGCCAATGTTGCCGTATCGCGCCTGGATTTCGCTGCGTATATTGTACGCCTGGTTAATGACCTACACATCGCGGAAAATGATCAGCAGAGCATAAAACTCATGCACTGTGCACATCCACTGGTGGCACAGGCGGACATATAACGTACCTGGCTGATATTCATCTGGGGCAGACGTAGAAGCACCGAGCGGATCTCGGATTGCTCCAGATCTTCAAGCGAATCCTTGAGATGTTTCAGAATGGCTATAGCCCGAGACAAAATGGTCAAATTAGTAAGCTTGACAGTAGAACGTGCCACCCTTCATACATATCACCTCCCCCCACAGCAACAGCAGCACCATACCTAAGCAAACAAACGGGTGGAACTCGACAAAGTCGGGCATCGAAAAGTACACATCCCACAGCCTCAGCAAGCTGCGCGTCGGCATCTCCTTGGCCAAAAGATAGCGCAGCCACGACGACGCCCACTCGCTGACATCCACATCCTCCTCTTCAAAGTAATTGTACAGCTCCGGCATCATCGTGCGGAAGTACGACAGGAACAGTGCCACCCGCTTGTTAATGTTGTTGTCAAGCGCCGACTCGTATATGATGTCCGCCAACCGCTCGAATCCGCTGTAGACGTCGCATTCGTCCTGCATAGTGGCCACAAAGGGCGCACACACCTGCACCAGGGCCGGCGAGTAGTCGACATGGTTGTTGCAGTTGATGTACGCGCAGATAACCGCCTCGAATACCGCCGGCGCCGAGTGCGGATCCACCAGCGCGTCCTTTTTTGTCCGCATCAGGTACCGGTTCACCTCCCCACGCCACCCGCTTGCTGACATCGACGTTCTCCTTGTCGATTTCCTGGTAACCCCTCGAGCCGCGCCTTGCGCTGTGTGAATTCATTGGCTACATGCATGTTCACCGCTTGTTAGATGCAAGTATCTTTGCCAGATCCAATCTGGTGGCAACACAATGTGCGCGGGATCTGACTTGCCTCCCACCGCCCTCTTGTTTTACTGCCATTTCCAGACGCATGGGCCCTCTGCTGCTTCCATGTCCGCTACTACTTACATCTATCCGACTTTTCGACGCCAAGCAAGTACTTCCACACCTGCTACAGAGAGAAAAAGCAGATTCCGCCATTGAGTTGTCAGCTTCCCAGCTAATGTGGGGGACTGCCTAAGCAAACATGCCAATGCTCGCAGGCCACAAGAAAGACCCAGGGATGTGGTCCACAGAGGGGAGAGGAGGCACTTACACCACGGAGGTCGTCGGGAATGCCGTGCCGGGCGTACTTGCGCAGTTTGTTGACGTCAATAAACACCTCTGACTCTAGCACCTCGTCATAGTCGACCCGCTGCTGTGTGTTGGTGACCTGCGTCGGCGATGCCCGCCGTCTTGTCGGACTGCCGCTACCCGACGAATGCACTGGACTTGTGGCCATTCTTTTGGAAATGCAATAGACAAAAGTGTGGGAGAAAAATTGAAATATTAGACAAGCTGAACCGTGCGCCGAAAGAAACAAGAAAGCGAAGGGGAGGGGTGGTTAAGGGGGGCAGAGCACAGAAAGGTGGCGGTGGGCGGAGGAAAAAATTGGCTGGCAAGCCAGTATTTTTTTATTTAAAACAGCTGTGCAGATTCGATGGCAAGCGATATCGCACTGTTCGAAGCGATCGCTAGCAGGCATGACCAGACCCAACAGAAACCCCGCCGCTTATAATAAGGTGCTGGTCAGTGACTGGATCCCAATGACCGATCCCTTGTCGCAAAATAGCCGATCGATGCGGTTCACGGCTCAATAGTCCATATCGGGGCATATGAAGCGAGAGCGCCCGTCTGTGCGATAAGCTCAGGAGTCTAGCACGTGTAGTGGATACTTCTCGGAACCATCTGCGCTCTGCATACGTCTGGGCGAATCCCTCGGCCATAAGCTTACCCAACTCTGCATGTTCTCATGGGAACTCCTGCCCGAGTTCCCGGGTCACATAGGATCAGTGCGCATATTTTTTCTCACACTCCTCCCCTGAGTCCTCCCCTCGCACAATGTCCGCTCCCTCCGCAACCCGCATGTACTGGCGCCGAATCGCCGCCGGAACCCTGGCGTCCATCCCCGTTATAATATTCGCCAGCGACAACATCGCCTCCCTGCAGATGATCACAGGCCGCTCCATGCAGCCAGCGCTGAATCCCGACAGCAACCGGCTCTGGCGCGACGTTGTTTTGGTCGACAAAATGGTGCGCGGCCAGATGAGCTACCAGCGACTGAGGCGTGGCGACGTCGTCACCTTCTATTCACCGTTCAACCCAGATCTCCTGCTGGTCAAGCGCATTATCGCAATGCCCCACGACTGCGTGGTGCCGCTGGGCCGTGAAAATTCGTTTGTGCGAGTCCCCAAGGGACATTGCTGGGTTGAAGGCGACGAGTCATTCCACAGTGGCGACAGCAATTCCTTTGGGCCCATTCCGCTGGCTCTGGTCAAGGGCAGAGCTACCAGGGTAGTGTGGCCACCGCAGAGGTTTGGGACGGGTCTGTCTGGGATGCCCGACTGGAAGCTGAAGCGTGTATTTGCCAATGGCGTCACAAAGTTGGGGTGAGAAATACCAGAGTGCCAGGTAGATGTGCATTCTCCAGTTCTTCAAAACACTCCAGAAAAAGAGAAGGCGATTCGGAGCTTGTTTCTCTTTTACTCTAATCAATACTATTGCAATACATTACACACCATTCGATGGGTGTCATGATCCTGCTGTCACATATCTAAATATCACCGGTATTAATGCACTTCAATACAAACTTCGCTGTTTACATCGGATTCATTTGAACGTGTCGGATGGTTGTTGGTGCAACAGTGATCTTGGAAATCTCCCGTCTTGATGGCCTGCTCAGCATAGACACTTCAGCACTGGCTCGCTGCTGCACGCCTCTTGCGCGGCCTCTTTGTTGCAGGGGTGGTGCCGGAAGTATCGGCAGCAATGGTCGTAAAGCGACGGAACCGTTCAGGAATACTGCCTGAATCACAGAGTGACTGGAAAGTGAGTCTGAAGTTTAGAACTGCTGCAAGATCGCGGTTCAAGAGCCGAGACGAATAGGCCCGCCTGTATTGTGCCATGGCCCGCTTACATGGCTCACTTTCCAGTCACTGTGATTCAGGCAATATTCCTGAACGGTTCCGTCGTTCTACGGCCATTGCTGCCGATACTTCCGGCACCACTCCGGCAACAAAGAGGCCGCGCAAGAGGTGTGCAGCAGCAGGCGATTCTGTTGCCAGCAGCAGTGAGCCAGTGCTGAAGCGCCCTGCGCTGAGCAGGCCATCAAGACGGGAGATGTCCAAGATCACCGTTGCACCAACAACCATCTGAAACGTTCAAATGACCGGTTCGCCGTGATGCTCTTATCGACGTGTCAACCCATGCTGACTAGCAGCCGAGCTCACATCGCGAGCAGAGCAATCCTGGTAGCTATATAATATCTCTCTTAATTGAGGTTTATATTCTAGCTTTATTTCTTAATAGCATTGTACTTAATTCTCCTAACATTATCCTTACCATATTAAGGAGAATATCTGAATATGAATCACAGCCATCCTATATCTGAACAAGCTGGTATAGAGGGCAGGAACTAGGAGCACAGCAGAAGGTAAAGATACTCACATCAAGCTATCAAGAGTATGCCAGAGTCAGATGAGTCAAGAGGGGTCAAGTGGGATGGTGTTAGCTAGTCTATCCAGCTAATATTTTCCATGAGTAGCTCCTATTAGTAGAGCAAGATATATGATCCTTAAAGCTCCTTCTCAGATAGTTCATAGTCTGGCACAACTCACTATCAGCATAGTTCTTAATGAATTGAGCTTGGTCTGCCATAGGTGCCTCTGTGACGTCTCGTACAGTATGTGAAGGCGCCTTGCAGAATATCCAACTGCAATGGCCAAAACAGCGACAACACGTAGTGGTGTGGTTGGTGATCGCAGACATGTTGATCCGAATCTGAATCTGATCAATATTTTAAGGTTGTCGTGCTTTACTAGCGCGCAATTTTGAAAGGAAAAAAATTGTCCTTTCTACTCTACGCGCGTCAGATTCTACTAGCAAAAAAGTTAATTTCCAATAATGAGTACTGATACGAGGTAGGCAGCATATATACACACGCATTATTATGTTGTTGTGTACCTTATTGGGTCCTAAATTTGCCTATGTAACTTTATAGTTCTACGAAGCGGAGACGCTGGGACAGCGGACCAGGTTGATGGCAAGGCTGGGGAGTCAGCACAGGATATTGGCGGTTCGCAGACGGGTCCCACAGAAATTGCCACCGCGACAGAGCAGGCGATTTTGGCAGCAAAGGCGCTGGCTGAGAGCGCTAAGGCTGAAGCCGAGGCACAGGCAGCGTCTGAGACCGAGCCAGCTATAAATATTGAGAGTGCCAAGGACGAACCAAAGGCCAGTGAGATGTTCGCCATGGATGTCGACATCAACTTTGCTTCAAATAGACAGCATCTGGCCAAGAGCGTCACGCAACGACAGATTATTGAGGCAACAGGCGCTGACATCTCAACCAAGGGCCGGTACTACACCAATGCGTCAGAGGCTACACCGGATGCACCAGCACTGCACCTGCATGTGGAGGCCACGAGCCAGGAGATGCTTGACCAGGCTGTGGCTATGATTGAGCGGCTGAAGACAGAAGGCGACCCTAGCGACACCGCCATGACGCCTGGTGCTATGTCCGCCTACAGCAATGGGCACTCTGACAACTACAGTGGCTACCGGCACGAGCGTCACCCGCGCAACATCTACCACGAAAAGATTCCGGTCGGAATCGAATCGGAGCGCGGGTTCAATGTGCGCGCCAAGCTAATTGGCACCGGTGGCGAGAACATGAAGTACATCC